TCTCTCTCTCTCTCTATGTTCTATATAGAATCTCTCTCTCTCTCTCTCTCTCTCTCTCTCTCTCTCTCTCTTCATGGTACAAGCTCTCTTACTCTCTTTTAATGGCACAAGCCCCTCTCTCAAGTACTTTTCTTTTCATTTACAAGCTTCTCTCTCTCTCTCCCAACAGCTATTAACACACAACAAGCCTCTCTTGAGCATCTCTTTCAAAGAGGGTAAAAAGAATGTAATGAGTTCCTAACAACTTAACCCCAAAACAAAACATTCAAAACACAAAACAAATTACTGAAATGCTTTTCAATTATGGTCGAAATATTTTGAAATGAAAAACTATATAACAAGACTATTTATTTTTAGTACAATGAGGACACAATCACCTTTGGCCATTAATTATGAAATTGGGTGGTTACTGTTGTACTATTAACTAGGCTCAAAGCCTAAGAAATTTTTTCTTTAAAACTTTATGACACACCCAAACTATCATATTCTACGTATGATGGCCAACTACGACAGTGACCACCTTGTACCAAAAGTAATTAGTATACAAACCCTGTTTGTAATTCTTCAATATTACTTGTTCTTTGTGAAAGTACAAATAAATAGTTAATCTCCATGGCTTTATTATTTTTGTTCCCTTGTTATCCTTTTCAATTTCCTTTTCTTTCCTTGTAAGCCTTTGTTCTTGTCTTTTTGTATAATATCAATATTTTTCAATGGGTATGGTGGAGAATCTCATTTGAGCCCTCACAATTACCTAGGTAGTGGCCTCTTCTCCTTGGCAAAATCCCAAAGAAAACAGGAACAGAAGCCATTTACTTCCATAAAAATATGGGTGGAGAACATTCTTAAACTTTAGTGTCTTTTGAGGGATAACTTGTTTGATAAGTTTTGTTTAGTGCTTTTTAGTGCATTATTAGCCTGTAAGTATGTGTCAAGACTCAAGTACAGACTTATAGATGTTGGCAAGGGGAGAGAGAGCTTTAGCAATTTTATCCTTGAGTGATTTGGTTATTACAGTACTAAACTTATAAGTGTGGGCAGAGAGAGCGAAAGTACTTATCCTTCAGTGTATTGGTTATTACAGTAGTGGACTTATAAATGTGGGGGTGGAAAGCAAACCTTTCTAGCTTTAATTATTCC